GTGCTCTCCACCCAGTGCATGAGCTCCAGGTCCTCTGGTCCTAAGCTTTCCATAACGTTTGGGAGGCCGGTAAACACCTCGTCATTGTCGCTTTGTAGCATGTCATCCAAAAGGGACAACAGGTCATCATCCTGCTTAAAGTCGCTCTCCGCCTCTTCGATGCTTTCCTCTTCCTTCTGGGAACACGGCGCACTCCCTCCCAGCCCAACCCCTCCACTGATCCAGCTGAGGGAGTACTTAGGCTCAATAGCTGGGGACTTGATGTACACTGCCTTGTCTTGGCTCATCATGGCTCCAAAGAGTGAGTTGGGATCCACATCTCCGCTCTGCTGTACAACGCAGTCGCTGCTCTCCAACGGAAACGAATTGGTGAGGCCAAGAATTGGCGAACTGTGGTCATACAGCACAGCCTCTCCTGTCAAGAAGGGAAGTGAGAATGGCATTGTGCGTTTCTGGAAGTGGTCCATCCCTTCTTTATCTCTGTGGAAAGAGAACCGAGCTCCTTAATGTCAGAATAAGGCAACACATTTATCCACCATGCAAGCGGGGAAAGTAGGTACGGAAGACAAAGCGAGAGCTGCAAGCAGTAAAATATTGTGAGGACATGTTTCAAGGAGCAGAGGGGAGGAGTAGGAAGGAGGGTGAGGAAGCAGGTGCTTTAAGGGTGTGATATTCAAGTTCAGCAGGCAATAGGGAAGGTAAATGAAATGTTGGCCTTTATTTCAAAGGGAATTCTTTTATTCATTTGTGGGATGTGGGTGTCGTTGGCTGTCCAGCATTTATTGTCTGCCCCTGATTGCCCTTGAGATTATAAAAATACGGAGGATTTGCTGAAGCTATACAAGCACTAGTCAGGCCACAGCTGGAATACTGGGCCCCTTAGCTAAGGAAAGGTATGCTGACATTGGAGGCAGCCCAGAGAAGGTTCACTCGGCTGATCCCGGGTATGGAGGGATTGTCTAATGAGGAGAGGTTGAGTAGTTTGGAATATAGATGAACAAGGGGCAATCTTATTGAAACATAGACAGTTCTTAAGGGACTTGACAGGGGAGATGCGGAAAGGTTCTTTCCACTTGTGGGAGACTCTCAGACCAGAGGGTATCATCTCAGAATAAGGGGTCGCACATTTAAGACAGAGATGAGGAGGAACTTCTTCTCTCAGATGGGAGTGAATCTGTGGAATTCTTTATCACAGAGGGCTGTCGAGGCTGGGTCATTAAGTATATTCAAAGCTGAGATGGACAGATTTTTAATCAGGAAGGGAGTTGAGGGTTATGGGGAAAAGGCAGGAAAGTGGAGTTGAGAATGATCAGATCAGCTGTGATCTCATTGAGTGGCAGAGCAGACTCGATGGGCTGAATGGCCTGCTTCTGTCCTTACATCTTACGGTCTGAATACAACGGGACGGCAGGTTCGAGAGAAAGACAGACTGAGTAAGTGAGGCTAGAAGGAGATGGAATGAACATGTGAGTGAACAGGAAGCGTGTCGCTGTTGAAAGCACCAGCTCCACTCCCAGCAGCAATGAATCCTTGCATCAACCTCAAAGTGTTCAATCATGATAACAGAGATAGTAGGAACTGCCGATGCTGGAGAATCTGAGGTAACAAGGTGT